TCAAAGTAACTCACCTGTAACACAATCAAGTCCCACGAATCCACTTCGGCATCCATTTAAACATCGACCATATTCACTGTCACAAATTCGAGCTCCCGCTGAATTTGTGTCACAGTTATAACTACAACTGGCTTTACAATTTTCACCATAGTTGGAGTTACTGCATTCTGTCGAGATAAAAATAATATTCTCAATCAAGTATACTATCCAGATTTAAAAAAAAAAATATTCCTGTTTAGTCATGAAAATACATCAATTTTACAAAGAGGTTACAATATATTCTGTTTCGAGGAAATCCATGTTAAGTAACGAACTTTCTGGTGTGGATATATTTTACGTCCCCATTTCCCCCCTTTTCCCACGCCAGTTGTTGCAAAGACGCCCTCTAATAGGGTTTACGTGGTTTTCTGCGATGTGACTAACTTACATCGTTGTTAGGAAAGAAAGATGCACAACTATATGTTTTGATATATTCAATGCATTGTTTTACTAACCTTCATCACACGTATCACCTTGGAAGCCAGGCATACAACTTATACAAATGCCATAGTTGATATCACAGATTGCATCTTTACAGTTGGTGGGACAAGGTGTCGTACAATTAGCACCATAGATACCAGAGTTGCAATTGGTACAGTTCCCAGAGTTAATTTCACAAATAGAGTCTTTACAATTGTTGGAACACACGTTGGTACACATGTTTCCATAGTGTTCAGATTTACAAGATACTGTCACAAACTGAATCCTTACAGTTTGATGAACAAGGCATGGTACAATTGAAGCCATAGAAACCAGGCTTACAACCCAAGCAATTCCCTTCAGTGCTGTTACAGATAGAACCAGTTTGATAACAATTTGGTGAACAGTTTGACTTGCATTCACTTCCATAGAAACCAGGATCACATCCTAAAGTGGGATAAACATGACTTTATTAGTTTAAAGATATCATATTTTATTGTCAAGATATGTGAAATGTAATATGTTTAATTCGTGTTTTTAGATTTATTCAAGAACATGTTACGTTATATGAGCATCTTATTTTACCAAGAAATTGTAGGTGCATTTTAAGAAAAGCATCTTTACCAAGTAATTGTTTTTTTAGAAACCAACGTGTTTTTATATTTAAAAGCGTTAAATATAAGCAATGTGTGTTTTTATTCGCATTTATTGGTACATAATTATCAATTAATTAGTTAACAAGTAATTTATAATGCATTGACGATATTAAGCAAAGAATGCATTGAAATGATATTCATGCAAAATGTTTGTGTAACTAGGATAGTATTTTTAAAACTTCAACGTTTATTTTTAAATTTGAAATGCTTTCCTTTTAAAATCTTTACTTTTATAGCTATACTAATCTGTTATATAGATCTATTTAACGAAATTGATATTTTTTAAAGCAAAATTTTCATTTGTAAATATTTTCCAAAATTAACTTTTCTATATTGTTTTATACATAAAATTCATTAATATGCCTACAGGTTTTATGTGACTTTTGAATATGTAGAAATGTATGGTGTTATTTACAGTGCCAATATACGTTTATTACCCTCTGTGCAATATGGAAGTTTTTTCCCCTCAGTCGAACACCTGGTACATTTGCCGTCTTTGCCGTCACAGTGACCTGAGCAATTATCGCATTTATTTTTGCAGTTGATTCCGAAAAGGCCAGCATCACAAGCTAAACATAACGTTTTAAATTCAATAATGTTATTTATTTGAAATGGGATGTGATATAGATTTATAAACAAATGTAAAAAAGACAATAATTACAGGGAACTATTCCGATTTCTCATTGATCTTTAAAACGTGTCTCGAATAGAGTCTTATACCTTGAATATGTCTAAATATCTAACATTCAAACTGATTCAGTTTAACTAGTCAGGATAATTTGTAAGATGATGTTTGTTTCTCTTAATTTGATTACACGGCATTATTAGTCATACTAGAAAGTAAAACTGGCTACCCGGGAAGCTTAAAACCCTATAAAGGTCAACAGGATAACGTTGAGATTAGAATAGAAAGAAGAGAAACCTTCTCAGCGCAGGCTTGAGATGGTGATAGGCCGGGCATTTTTAAAATATGTTTTATGGGAACAGAACGCCAGAAACCAACATGTCCATTGAGTAAGACACACATTCATTTTAGAAACGATCTAAATACTTACTTTTGTTGCACCCTTCTCCATAAAATCCAGCCTTACATCCAGATGGACAGTTTCCTGTACTAACAAAACACATTTCACCTTCTAGAGCACAGTTACAGACATTCTCACAATCGCGGCCATAAGTGAATTTATCTCTTGGACACACCGAGTCTGACGATAAAATATTTTTTTTTTTAAAAATGTGAAGCTTTCAAATGTATGTCTATAAAAGAACGTGTCCTAGTGTATCAAGAACTGAATAGAAAAGATTGTTATACTTTAGTGTGCCTTCTCCTGTTACTAATGAGATAAAGGACAACAAGGATAAGTTGCAATAATTTTTATCATGAGTAGATCTCCTTGTTGTAGAACAACAGACAAAAGAAATGACAACAGAAACCATAATTTTCTTTTACGCGAACCTTCTAGACACTAAAGTGACGTGACAAAAAATGTCTCATAGACGCAGGTGTAAAATAATTAATCATTTGTAGTTATAGTTTTGGAGTATACAACACAATGCTTCTGTGTGGCTAGGTACTGGATTTCAGCAATTAGATCAGCCAATGATGAAAACACTCAGTTGCCCTAACAAATACATCAGCCATACATGAATAAACACAGAGGGACTAAGAAATGGACTATATCAGCATAAATAAAGGAGCTAACTTTCGAACGTCCACAAGACCATTGACACCTTAAATTTATGTTACAGGAATTTTAAAAAAAATAGTATTTTTCATCGTATAAATGACTTTAATGCTAAGTGAACGAATTTTTCAATGTATAATATTTTATTGTATATTAAATTTCGTAAGTTTTCTAAACACTTGACGCATCTTTCCCTTCTCATGATTGTTCGTTTCTGTTTTTATATTTTTAAAGATTATATACTATCATTATATTCTTTAGAAATTATATGTCATACTTATAATTTATGTGTCGATAAAGAAAAATATCAATTTCTATCTTAAAACTTACCACCAAAAATCTCCACTTCACACAAAGTTAGGATAATTACAGGTAATGGATGAGTTGCTGTTATTTGAACCTTTGAAACTTGAGCCCATGGATCAGTTGATAGAACGTTGTACACCTCCAAAGCTGATGTCTCAGCATCGGTGTAATTTTGGATAATGTTATTTGTTGGGTCAAATGTTCTAAGAATAAATCCTTTCAATCGATCTGCACAACATCTTTCTTCAATTCTAGCTGATGATTGTTATAAAAGGGTATACAAAATTTTTAGAATAGTCAATGGAGTTTTTGATTATAATAAAAAACAACTTTGTATAACCTCTATTAATTGATAAAATATATTAATTTGTATGTAAATTTTTATTTGAAAATGAGAATAAAAATAAAAATATCTAAAGGACTGCATTAAAAAAAGGCTAAAACAAATATTATAATAAACTATATAAGAAGATAATTTAGTAATAATTATTTTGTTGTTGATCACGTTCAATATTGAAATGATTAATTGAGTAACATTCATGTAATAATTATTTTGTTGTTGATCACGTTCAATATTGAAATGATTAATTGAGTAACATTCATGTAAAAATTATTTTGTTGTTGATCACGTTCAATATTGAAATGATTAATTGAGTAACATTCATGTAATAATTATTTTGTTGTTGATCACGTTAAATATTGAAATGATTGATTGAGTAACATTCATGTATCTACTATATAAAGCTCAGTGTCAATGTTTTTTTTTTTTTTTTTTTTTATGGAGCACTTAATCAAAAGTAAAACAAACAGAAGATCAGGACCGAAAATGACGTGTTCATTCCTCTTGACCTATAGATGGCACCTGAAAAGTGTCATTAACAAGTCATGTGATGTTGATTGTAAATATACGAGGCGCTAATAAAATACCAATGCGCAAAAGTGAAGTGAAGACTTTCTGTGACCAGCAGAGGTCAAAGAAAGGTCAGTGAAGAATTTCAGTGATCAATTATGTTTTGTCATTGTTGATTGGTGTCGTTAACCCGTAACCAAGCATCAGAAAACGCTGTAGTGAAAACTCAAATGTGCCTGTTAATTTATGTACCCTAGATATCAGCAGAGGTCAATGAATGGTCAGTGGAGGTCACTATCAGGAAGTATTGTATTGCCATTGTGATTGGGAAAATGTACAAAGTTTTAGCTCAGTTATACATACATTTATATTTTAAATGTACAATATAGTAGATATGTGTGAAAGGGAAAAACGAAAGTTTGCGATTTAGTAACGAATCAGCATTAAGTAAAACCAGGTTATAAGGATTGCAATGTCTAAAAGGCATCAAATATTACACACTGAAATATTTCCGTGCATAGTAGATTTCCCTTTTTAATTAAATTATTTCATGTTGTTCTATCAGTGAAGGTTATTATTTTCACCATAAAAAAAAAATTTGTCAAGATATAATTTACTGATGTCAGATACTGTTACGGTAGTGTTCAAGCTATTCTTTTGATCTCCTTGGTGTTCCCAAAGGTCTTTATGATTTAACTAAACTATTTATAAATCAGAAAATAAACACTTTTAGTCCAGTTTTAAAACGGGTTTTTAACATTATAGTAAACGTCCAAATATATGCAAACATACACAACAAAAAATCAGAATTAGACTATTCGGTGAGATTAGACTAAAACCCTCGTGGAGGTTCACATTACAGATATGAGAATGGGAAAAACTCGCGGGTCACATTACACTAAATTTTGCTGTCATGTGGCTGGCCGCAAAATATCGTCTTGCGGGCCGCTAATGGCCCGCGCGCCGTGAGTTTGAGAACCCTGATTTGGACGGAGGGACAGTATTAGTAACTGAGAAGTAGAAAATAGGATGCCACAGGGAAGGAGTCTCTAGAGACGCCACGACACAATTCGATAACTTTTAATAGGGACCGTTAGACGTTATTAAGGCAGAACTCAGCCGGACTGTAAGTGGACAGTCGGAGTGAACTCCGGCAGATTGGAGTAAAAGACCGTCGTGAGGACGCAGCGGGTTGAGGAAAAAACCGGGACATTCAGGGATGAGTGTGATCAGAGAGAAACAGAAATCGAAGTAACGGATCAATTAAAGATCAACGGTTATAACCATCAGAGATTTGTCTGATTGTCGAAAAACCAGGGACAATTAAAACAAGTGTTACCATCCAAACAACGAATATGTAACGAAAGTAGAACAGAGTCGAACCAAGATTCTCTTCAATGTTTTTTAAAAAGAAAACGGATTAATGACATCTGCCCCCTATAAACCAACAGATAGTTTTGTTATTTGTTATACTCATCATCCTACCACAAATCATGCAAATACTCTATAAATTCCTCACAACTATTCAGACTATGTCGGCTCTTGAAACTTAATGACGAAGTTTAAGAACGGGCTAATAAAATGATGGACTTCTTCCGCTACAGATCTTATCCTGAATCTACTCTTGTCTTGATAGAAGATTATTAGACAGGTTCACTGGAAATCTTCGTAATAATAAGCTAGGTAAACTTTCCCCGGTCTCATCCCATTTCAACGGAGATAAACACATATGTTAGATTGGGAAATGGCATCGACGGGCCGTCGAGTGTGAGGTTATAATGCCCTCCCAAACTTACCTCCAAACAGCGCAAATGGGACATCCCCAGGCCCGGCCTGGACCGACCCCAGCTGTACCCACACGATCGAATTTTCAGATAGAGACCCCCCCCCGCGTGACGTCCGGTCGACCGAATCCACTGCTTTTAAAGCATCCTTAGGTGACTCTCCCAAGGAGTCGGGATGGTACATTAACGTTAAAATATCTTCTCTCACCCATCGAATGGAAGCGTTTGACGCCCTTTTAGGAGTTTCTACAGTGGGTTTCCACCACGCATTTAGTTTGCAAAGTAGCTTGGACAAAACTGTTGCTTAGGAGCAGATTTTTCATAGACATAAATTGGCATTAGATTATACTTAACGGCACTGACTTCCTGCACCAACACACCACACAGAATTAAATGAAAAAATAATAAATTCAGCTTTTCGACACAATATTTGCATATGGAATCAAATGGTATCTTATTATGATCCTAAATATCCATGCATTTCTTGTATTATATCTTATACTTTGTATATTTATTTTATATGTTAATATCCTTTTTTACAGTAATAAGCATACAATATTTTACTTTTTGTTGGAGACCCTCGCTAATCGGGGTTTGCGTGGGAGACCCGCCTTCAACGTTGGTTTCATTTTCCGTTACAGATAACAACTTTGTTATCTATGATCTTTTAACGGCAGCGGTAAACATGAGCCCTAAACCCTAGCTCCAAACCAATTTGACCAACTTCTTCACAACATCATTCGTGTTGTATGGCTAGAGTAGGCAAGCGTGCAAGCTTTCAAGGCCCCAGTCTGTTAGGAACATATTACAGCTCAAACACAAGCTGCAAGAATGGACAGACTAATACACGGGCAAGGGAATCAAACAAAATTATTTATTCTGAATAACATTGTTGTATCTAATATGCTGGTTAACATCCCTTGCATAATTTTAATGTGCTAGACGTTTACTTAGTATGATACCTAAGAAAATTGACCTAGTATTGTATTAATGTTTATTTAAAATATATAAAAAAATTACTATTAAAATGTAAGAAAAAATGTTGGGGTCGTATGAGTTATTATATTTGAGTAACAGATACAGTGTTTGAGTGAGAAAATGACGAGAATTTTAATGGATTCCAATCATAGTTCATCTCTTGTCATTCTTCTAGATTCAACACATCTTTCAGCATATTTTACCTTTTAATAACGCGGTCTTTAAATTGTATGAACGTTCTACTTACTTTCAAATCGGTTGTAAATTTTATAATTCGCCACTGTAACAATAGCATGAAAATAAAGTGTCCACGTTGGAGCGGCCTCCCCACTGTTATAAGTGTGCGTACAAGAGCGGTCCTCCCAGTTAGCATTACCATCTACAGCAGTGCTTGAAAAGTAAAATGGGGACTCACTGTATGTTGATGTTTGAGATGTTGCTTGTCTTAAAGCAACATTTCGACCTGCAGATCAATTGATTTATGAAAAATTTGTTAATTTTTAAAGTTCTTAGATTTGAGTTATCATGGTCTTATTTACAAAGCTCTTTTTGCTTAGTTATATGAGTTCATTGTACAAACTATTATATAGTTGTCTTTTAAGTCTTACTTTAAATGGTCAGTTGACATGGACTTTTGTGGCAAAGTGCAATAATTTGCAAACATTTTTCATGGAGATATATAAGCATATGCAAAAATAAATTGAGTGCAATGCTTTACTCGCTTGAGTACTAACCTAATATTATGACTTTAAAGTACTGTGTTTGGATTTCAATTAATGTTTAAAAGTAATATTAAGAAATAATAAAGAAAAGGTTTTTGACTGTAAAAGGGATCAGCATACAAGTAAATGTATGCATCACTTTTTTTTTAATGTATCTTTTGTCTCAGCTGTTAAATGCCTTAAAAAGTGCATGCAAAACGTATGGTTTTATTGGAAAAGTAATATAAAATACTGATTAATAAGTTAGAATGGGTGAAGTATTATTAAATGTTACCTTTACTGATGTAAAGTGAACATAATCGTGTCACTGACGATCCATTCAAGACAATTCCTTGTATAGGTTTTGAAATGTTGCAATAAATATCCATTGTTATTTTGTCCACAAATACTTTTATACATTCCAAAGTTTGTAGTGAGACATAATCAGGAAACTTTATCGAAATATTTTAATTTTGTAACTCTAAACAACAAGGACACAAGATGAAATTTATTATAAATGACTGACAAAAATGTATAAATAAACATTTCAATAACATATTAAAATAAGGAACCATATAAATACTATTCAAAGCATTGAAAACTTTTTTTTTTCAATTAATACAAATCTAAGATATTTTAGTTACCAGCATTTCCGACTACAAGTCTCAACCAAGTGAAGTAGATGCTATAAGTCCAGGTGACATGAAGCGAGAAACTAGAACCTGTAAGAGCTACACAAGTTGTATCATCTCCATCTGTAATCTTGGTTATATCTTGGGATGTGCCGTCGTTAAGTGTTAGTTGTGCAGATCCTGCTAAGTCAACTGTAATGAATTATTTCTGCCTGTTAATTAATTTTTGCTGTTTTAAACATTATTGTTAAAATATGTTGCAACTGAAGGTTAGTAACCTTTTGAAAAAAATATTGTATTATGCTTAAATCAATATCAAACAAAAACGGTTAGACCAGAAATAGAATATATAGAATTACTGTTTTAGAAATTGTGTTTGTTTTTTGTGTGTGTTTAGTTATGCGAGAATAATGGTGCCTTAACGTTATACTGTCATGTTGTTCCGTCCATTCATTCTGCCACCGTTTTCCGTCACATTTTTTCTGCCTCTGTGTACCGTCACGTTGTACCGTCACGTTGTACCGTCACGTTGTACCGTCACGTTGTACCGTCACATTGTACCGTCACGTTGTACCGTCACGTTGTACCGTCACGTTGTACCGTCACGTTGTACCGTCACGTTGTACTGTCACGTTGTACCGTCACTTTGAACCGTCACGTTGTACGTCACGTTGTACAATCACGTTGTACCGTCACGTTGTACCGTCACGTTGTACTGTCACGTTGTACTGTCACATTGTGCCGTCACGTTGTGCCGTCATGTTGTACGTGTGCCGTCATGTTGTACCTTCACGTTGTACCGTCAAGACGTTTCGTTAGGTTGTTTTGCAAGTTCTAATAAAAAGATTTTTCATGAACTAATTTTAGAAACAATTGCAATAAACTACCACCGGGTACAAAAAGGGAATTAAGCCACTTTAATAATTATTTTATATAAACTCGAGGATCTTCTTACAATGAATCATTTTAGGAAATGAGCGCAACAAAGTTATGCGAAAAGCTGAAAATGGACAGAAACGATTCAACAAATGTGTCGGATATATGACGTATGAGAGGGAAATGTAAGTCCACTTCGAATGGTCGTAACAAGGAAGGGACGAAGAAGTATAATCTTTTCTCAAGTAACCCACATGTAATTTGTGTCATTCGCAAACTTTTATTTAATTTCACTGTCATCTGTTAACCCTTGAATTTTAATTGTATTCCTCAATCGCATTTATTTAACATGTATATGCCAGTTATGTAGTGTGCAGCCAGCTCTTATAAATTTTATCTATAAATTTATGCCTAGTTCATCAAGGAAGTAGAAAATTTAAAATAATATTATGAAATAAAGAAAAATTGTGAAGTCTTTTGATAGAAGGGAGAACACTAAATTTAACGAGCTCATTTTGTTACAAAATGTATGCAATGTTTTTTAAAACTAATTTTTTTTTTCATAAGGAAATTTGACAACTATTATTTCCTGTTTTCAAGTCATGATAACTCACAAACTTACGTGATTGCAAGTAGCACAAACCTTTTTTTAAGAGTATATGACGACATTTCATTAAGGATAATGGGGAAAAAGTCCCCCCTGGTTGCGTAATGCGCTGGTTCCTCGTATTCATTTCTTTACATTTCAAATAATGTTATACATCTTGGGATAGGGGATGTAATGCGTTCTGTTTGGGGAGGACGGCAGTAATCTCAAGCATTATGATAACCAGGACCACCTTTGACTTCTGCTCCATGAGATATGCTTTAGACTGTTGAAGAAATTCATTTTAAGTACTAAAGTCCAATGCTTCTCGTAGATAAAAATATATTTATTGTAGATAAGGAGTCATCAGTGCTGTCACTGACCGGGGAGTGAGCAGAAATTGAAAACGACGAAGGCAACAAAGTCAAAGTAAAATGGCTGAAAGGTCTAAAGAAGGGGTTCAGATAGCCCCTCCTCATCATATTGTTGTTCAATTTAAAATTAAGGCAAGCCTTTCGGCACATAATCTACTCTAGTTTTGAATCATTCTACCTATACTTAATTGGAGAGAACCAATGGAATTTTAGCTGTCCCTTGACTAAAGCATTTATTTTTAATTGTTTTTAAAATTGTTGTTTTCTTTTTTTAATAATATTTTTTTTAAAATAAGATATTCATTTTTTTACATTACATTACTAGTAAACAAATTAAAATGTATTAAAAATGTTCGTCATAACTAGTTTTTTTCCCCTCTCAGCACTGATAAACAGATACGAAAACGACAACAAATACTGTTTTTTAATAAAGGACTATAGATATTTTCGGTAGTTAAAACTGATCATTCGTACTAAACAGTTTATGACAAAATTATTTTATCAAGATTTGAGATGAAATTAATAAAACATCCTTCAATTAAATGACACATTATCGAATTAATTGGGCTTTTTAAAAACGCTTAAATTTAATTTGACACATTACTTTAAAAATTAATAGCTTTAAAAATATTAGTTTTTTTCTTAAACTAGAACAGAGCAAAAATTCATTTCAGACATAATTATATTCTTTTACAGGAAAAAAATTGCCGAAAGATATTTAACTATCCTTAAACTGCAAAGGCAGAATGGTGTGTTTGTGAGGTCGATAGAAGCGTGAGGTACATAGAAGCGTGAAGATCTTGTAAACACAACATTGTGTGCAGGACTTAAGATGCCACTGCATACGTTGGGGTGAATACAGTAAGGTTTTTAAAAGGAAAATTGTAGCACAAGGTGGAGAAAACATGAAAAAGAATAAAACGGAACAACGGAAAGTGAAATGAAATCAAAGGAAAAGTAGAAACATATTCATACTATTTTAACACATAATACAGAGCAACATCTGGAAACATAAGAACCTTTAAGAGCAGAAACCATTGAAGAGCCACTTTGTAAGTGTACACACGTCTTATAGAAAAGCCAATGCTGATACCATACAATCACGTTATCATTCAAGACAAATGTGAAAAATAATACGCAACTTTATATGTAAAATATCTAGAAGGATAGTTCTCACAAAGAATATATTGAAGATTTGGTTAGGCTGACCGTAACGACAAAGAAACGAAGCGATTTAAATACCTTTGGATACTTTATTCGCAATGTTTAAGAATTATTTTTATAAATAACACATACATCTTAATTAACAATGAAGGAACTATTTTAAGCATTTTGAAAAGAGTTTGAAAGTTACGAACAAAAATTCAAAAATACAAATTATGATCTAAGAATTACACCGTAATCACATTTATCTGGAAAATCAAAACATCTGTTGTTTTAGCGCCTTTTCAGTGCATTCTTCATATTACGAAATTAAATTAAAATTAATTTGTTCAAAATAAACACGCAAATTATGTCATAGTGCGAATTGTCCATTTTAGCCAAAGTTCTAAGTATCTTTAATAATCAGGCACAAAATGGGCATATAATTTATTGTCCCCTGCTTAAAAGTAAAATTGATAAATATAATTCAGCTTTCTATTTTTAACATTTCATACGTTTTTAATTTTTTCATTCTAAAAACATACTTTTATTAAATTTTATAACGAAAAAACCCCTTAAACTTTAACTATACTTTTAATAAGGTAATGCCGTTCAATTCCAACCGTCCAGCGAAACTCTATAGTCAAATCGAACTCACTAATGCTCTTATCACTTATCTGAATATAATAATAAATAAAATAAAGTGCAACAAAAAAAGTCTTTTGGAGTACGTAGGGAGCTAAAATCTCACTGATGATTTTATTTATTTTTATTAAAATCTGGGAGGCAGGGGGTCGATACTTTCATTTTGCCCAATGGAGCACAAGATACGCCTCAGTTATTCCTCAACACCACATAGACAAACTTCAGAAGGCACAGAACTCAGCATGCAGACTCATTTTTAAATCGAAGAAACATGACCACATTCAATATCACATGCGTCAACTCCACTGGCTTCCAATATCCTCTCACATCAAGTACAAGTCTGCCAATCTATGCTTCAACTCGTTCACTGACCCTCACTTACCTGTCTATCTTTTTAACTGTTGCTTCTTTACATCCCCACTAGACAACTACGCTCTTCCATTGATAATAGAACCCTCTCAATTCCAAGAACCAAAACTAAGACCATCGGTAAACGCTCCTTCTACTTCTATGGGCCCACGTTCTGGAACCAGCTCCCCTACCATATCCGTCATTGTGAAACCTCGTCCACTTTTAAAAAGTCCCTTAAAACCCATCTGTTTAGGTCCGCCTATGACCTGTGATGCACCCTCCTCGCCCTGCCTCATTTTCTGTTGCTGTAGTATTGGCCGAAAGGTGCCAAAGTGTCCTCGTTATATAGCCATTTTAATTGTTTCTATAGTATAGTAGTTACTATCCTAGTGTCTCATTTTTATTTTACTTAGTTTACATGTTTTTTAATAATTGTAAAGCGCTTAGAGCTTTATGGTAAGCGCTATATAAAAAATGCCTAAATAAATAAATAAATAAATAATGGAATAAATTTGATAAAAAAATTAACCCTCTGAGGTACCGTACACATATAAGGGGGGGAGGTAAGAAATAGAACGTGTACAATTTTACATGGATGACAATATTTTTTTAAATCCAATGATATTACAGTTATGAATTAGAGAGGTTACATTGTCTATTTACAAATAAATATATGTATACCAATTAAGAAAAACATTGCATTATTAAAACGTGGGTACATTCACTTACGTACACCCATGAATATCAAACCCAAATCATTTCACACATGAGAAAGTTTCATTTTAAACAAATGGAGAAGGGTTTACTTTAAAAAAAAAAAATATTTTGTTGTTTTTACTTTGCGAGAAGTAAAGTGGGTG